CAAAGATTTTTGCTCAAAGATTACCAGCCGTGCAATCTACTACATAGCTACATACATTATATTCAGTGTTGTCAACACTACATGTCAAAAAGTCGTTAACGTACGCTTGAAAAGTCGCTAGAAGTCGCTAGCTATGGACAAAAATCAAAGGTCGCTAGAAGTCGCTAAATGATCCCAGTAGACGGAGCGCTATGTATAGAAACTGAGCGCAATTCTTTCACGTAACTCTAATTCTATATTGTTTTACGCACGGTAGTATGGGACACAGTTTTTTGGTCTGTTGGAATAAAAGAAATTAATTTGATTTACTTAAACAGAATAATATTTATAATCGGTATAAAAGAATTGAAAAATATATAAAACAATTATTTAACGAACGTAAAATCAAGAAAATAATACTAAAAATAAAATATAATACAAAATATTATTTATTGCCACCAATTTGGTGGCACCAAATGAAAAAATAATTATTAAACAAATACTTAAAAAGTCGAAAACATAATACTAAAAATGATGAAAAAGTTTCTTCATTCATCGTCAGAACTGAAATCTGAAACGGTTAATGTATCCGTTCTGGAACTGGAATTAAAGCCTGAAGTTGATGGCTGAGGCAGAGAGGTCCGTTTGGCAAATGAATATGATTTATTGGTCCCAATATTCTTTAGCACATTAATTGGTATTTCGTAATCATAGCAGCTTTTATAGGTTCTTCTTAAAGAGTATTTAATCATTAAAATAGAGTTTAATGCCTTCAGACTCATTCAATTGCGAAGCTTCGATTTTGTAATGTACATGGCACTAAATATCCTTTCAATTTCAGCATTCGAATGAGGTAGCGATATTACAGTTAATGCCAGATCACACAATTCTTGGAATGGGTTTTTATCGGCAGCATCTTTATATTGATTGACTTCAGCCCAAAACTCTAGCGTGCTATTAATGTTTTGCCATTTAACATATATTGTTCCACTGTAAATCAATATTTTCCAATTTTTATACATCTTCAACTCCTAACTCTTTTGCCGAATCTATAATGTTATCGTTTTGATTTTTCGTTCGCAAACTTCGCTGACGGCTAATTTATTAGTTTTGATCAATATTTCAATATTTGGAGGAAGCCTACTTTGCAATTCCCTTATCAACTTGACTGTAAAGTCAATGCATCTTTGTTTGACTATATTTGAGACATCTTCATTCGAATTAAGTTTTCGAGCACTAGTTTCAAAAGCATATCCAAGCGTAGCGTAGGGATTTAGGTGATCTTCTTGAACTGTCGTAGTTAGTACATTTATATTTGTGTGAGAGTAAATGACTCTGTTACAAGTTGATCGCAATAAAAATGTCAGGGTATCGAGCAATTTTGTGCGATCAGCATTTTCACTTTCAAATACTTTTAAAGCTGATTAAACTTCTTTTAATATGCTTTGGATATATGTCATATATAGCATATTACTGATATCTTCAAACATAGCATGCAGAAGTTCTGCTGTGTAACAATTTTCTTTGACCTTGTATAACGAAAATTGTAACTTCAAATCATCCCATTGTTGTAAAATGCGACTAACTGCTGGGAATATTGATAGCCATCGTGTAGTACACATTTTAAGAATTTTCAAAGGCTGCGATCAACAATTGATGGTCTCATATATTTGTCGGTATTCACCCTGTCGTTTGGGACCAGTTATAAGGGAGACCCTTATTATGTACTCAACATTACGTGGCAAGGTGTTTTCAGAAGCATGACTTACCGCTAGTTGCAACTAATGGCATACACATCGTTCAAGTACTAGGTTAGGCAATCCATGTTCTGTTTTCAAAATTTGATGCAAGCCATTATTCACACCAGTCATCACTGAAGCATTGTTAGTACCTATACTGACAATTTTTTTAATTTTAAATTATTATCGTTCAATGTGTTTATGATTACTTCAGCAAGCCCTTTTGCATCAGCTTTTGTAATAGGTGTTAATGCCAGAAATGTTGACAGAACTTTATTTTGTTAATTACTGAAATATCTTATTGCTATTCCTAAGTATTTCAGGACACTGATGTCAGTTGACTAATCTAGAATGAGGCTATATTTTTGGTCGCCGATATCCAACCTCAGCGATTCTTTGAAGTGTGGTCCAATATCTCATTAATTTTTTCCGAACATTTCGTTCTATTTATATGTATGTCGTGGCCGCATTTAGAATCGTAAAAGAGTTTTTTACACATCTCTCCCAAATGTTCTACTGTCACAACGGAACAGTGTTCGGCAATAAATAGAGCCATGGCTGCTTCTGCTCTACTTGAGGGCTTTATTTTATCAACTGGCAGGAACGGTGGCAAGGGCTCTTGTTTCGTTATTATTTCCGCTTTTGATTAGAGTATTTTTAGACTCCGAGTGTTTTTTTATATCACTGATTTTTGCTAAAAATTCAGTGTGACAGCGAAACATACATTTTAAATCAGTTCCTTGAACCGGTGCTAACCATCCTTTGAAGTCTGGATTGTGTTTCTATTCTTTCTATATTTCTGTGAGTAACTTTTTTCTTTATAGGTATTTCCATTGTTCAACAAACGGAATCAATCACTGACTATCTATTCTAAGTAACTTTGGGTTTACGTAATTTACAGCAAATTTAATAAGCAACCGCTAATCTTGTACAATTAGAGAGCACAATACACTCCAACACTCTATCAACGAATGAATACTCAAATATACTATACAATACCTTAGAAAAATCACGCTGGGATTCCCCTGTACACAAGTACACCGTTGGGGGAATCCCCGCTTAAGCATAAGAATTTATGGCAGCGTTCCGAAATTGGATAAATATTACTCTCACAAGAGTCTGTCTCATTCAAAGGCTACAAGTAAAAAAAAGACAGACGTGTCAGAATGACATCCGATTTCTTAACGCAGTTCCGAATATAGAGAAGAAAGATCTCTGGGCTAAGACCTTGCCAAATTTTATGAAGATAGTTAAAAGTTAGTTTTTTTTATTTAAACGTCGTAAAAAAGAAGTCGTTAGAATAGTCGCTATTTTTTTTTTGTCGCTGGACACATAATTTAAGCCGCTGTATAAAACGAAATGTCGCTAGATCTAGCGATAAAGTCGCTAAATTAGCAACACTGATTATATTCTCTATGCTACTACAAACCATAGATAAATAAATATGTAGCAAGCTACAAACTACAATACAAATTGGGATTGCTTGGACATAACAAAACAAAACAATTCTATGTTTTTACAATTCCAAGTTTTTAAGCGCACATGACAGTTGTTGTTGTTTTTATTATTCGCTCGAGAGAGCAGGCAAAGGAACTAAGCCATACAGCCTATTTTTTATTTTGAATATCTTCATAGTTCACTGCTTCACAATATGTTGATGCGTCACATTGGGCAGCCCTTGGGAGATTTTGACGGCAACTTGAGCCACCAGACAGCTGACAGTTGGTGATGGTATCTAAAGGTGCCTATGCAGACAAACAGCTTATCTTGAGAATCCATCACCACCAGAGCACTTGTTTCACCGTTTCCACTAATAGTTCACATGCGTAGGCAGTTAATACATAAAATCGCACCACTTTTACATCTCAAAATCCACTTCAAACTATTATTTAAACTATAATACAGGAGCAGCAAACCGCCGCCGGTCAAATTCCTGCCAAAACTCTCGCACATAACAGGATTGAGTTGACAGTTGACAGCTTTGAGCAAATATGGAGTGTAGAGTAGAAGGAGAACCATCTTATAAGGTGCGAAAGTTGAAAAAGTGTCCCAATATATACTGAAAATAGAGGTTCCAAAACCTACCACAATAGCGCTGTCGTCTGAAAAACTACGATATGAATATAGCTGTTGTAGACGGAGTGAAGTCAGCTGAATTCAAATATTTATAAAAGTTCATAACTAGAGTAGTTAGTAAAATGCCAGTATACAAAACCTCGCCTGTTTACGTAGTACAAAACCAAGCGGATTAGTCGGTGCTTGTTTATTTCTCCATCTTATTTTAATAAATTTTGGCGCTTTTTTTTAAATTTATCCTATGCTACTGCAGCGCCACCCTTATTGGACGCGTTTTCAGGGACACTTTTCATATACAGAGATGGTCCTCCTTCTACTCTACACTCCATATGAGAAAAAAAATAGTTTTTTTTTAAACTGGCTTTACGGCTCTGGGTTCTAGCCTTTCTCAGCCTGAAAGAAGATAGGTTGACAGTATGGAGTGTAGAGTAGAAGAAGGACCATCTCTATATATGAAAAGTGTCCCTAAAAACGTGTTCAATAAAGTTGGCGCTGCAGTAGTATAGGGTAAATTAAAAAAAAGCGCCAAAAGTAATCAGAATAAGATGGAGAAATAAACAAGGACCAACCAATCCGCTTGATTCTGTACTACGTAAATAGTTGAGATTTTGTATACTGGCATTTTACTAACTACTCTAGTCATGAAATTTTTTAAATATTTGAATTCAGCTGACTTCACTCCGTTCACAACAGTTATCTTCATATCGTAATTCTTCAGACGCCAGCGCTATTGTGGTAGGTTTTGGAACCTCTATTTTCAGTAAATAGTAGGACACTTTTTCAACTTTCGCCCCTTATAAGATGGTTCTCCTTTTACTCTACACTCCATAGTTGACAGCACAGTCTAATATTATGATACTACGTATCAGACAGGGCACTCCCATAGAACAAAAGTGAACTTGTCTGAGCTCACATATCATGTATGAGAAGCTGTCATTGACAGCTTTTTTTATAATTTTCCATAGTGACGATCAAAGCGTGGTACGATACAGCCTATATTAAACGTAGTGGTTATATTCTCTTTGCATATATTATTATAGGTCCTAGATAAAAATACTACTTTCTATCTATTATTCTAATTAAATAATACGAATTCATAAATAATGAATTCGCATTATTTAATTCGAGCTTGTTAGAAAGGGAATGTAAGTATAAGAAAAGAACACTGTGTTATTTAAACATTTTTTTATTTTTTAATTTTGTTTTAAATTTATTAAAAGCTTTTAATTGCATTTGAGCACCTTTCAATATTTTATTTATGACATTGCACCAATTAAACACTGTCAATCTTAAAGTTAATGTTAAAAAGTGTTCAGAAACAGCATCCTTATGCAGAACGCAGTTTAGATTTGATGAGAGTTTTTATATCTTTTATGTTATTATCTCAAAAAATCTCACGGCATGTTCCGAAGGGTAGATCAATTTCTTTTCTTTTATACTTTTAAATTCTTTAAAGCAAATCCAATTATTGATAGAATTTTTATCATAACTGGATTCCCTATTTGTAAAATCAGCTTCACATTGTCGTCAATTTTTTTTTAGTATGTTTCTTATGACCCACCCAGCGGTATATGCATGAGTGAACATTAATGTTTTCATGCTTTGCTGAACTTTCACTTTCTACCCAACTCAATAGCTCAGAGGACTCGAATGAATGGATTTGCTTAGTATTATCACATTTTTCTTTTATACAAAATGATGATTTTAATTTTCCTCCTCATCGGGGTGTGCCGAGGTTGGTGCGTAAACCTGTATGACCTTCAGCGAATACCGTTTGGTGATCTGAGTATACGTTGTTAACGAGAGACTTGTGGACGATAAATTCAACACCTCCTTGGGACAGATTGTCACCCTCCCGGTGATAGAACAAATTGCCGGATTCGAGGATTACCGTGTCCTCCCCCTCTCTTCGGACTTCGGATAATCCTATGACATTCCAGCGCAACTTGTCTAAAGAAAACATGAAGGTCTAGTCTGTTTCCACTAACCTCCTTTCACACATACGGTATTTATTTTAAGGTTCCATTTTTATGCTTTCTACCGACTTCAAAAAGGAGGAGGTACTCAATTCGACTGTATGTTCTTTTTTATATTTATTACCTCATAACTTGTTTCTGCATGAAGCAATTTCGATAAATCTTTTATAATTTGTAAAGCTGGTGCTTCACATGTGATCCCATATAAATTTGATCAAGGTCTGATCAATAGTTTTTGAATTATTCTTAATAATTTATATTGAATTCGGTTGTACAGAAACAGAAACAGAAACAGAAACTTTTTATTCAATATAGATTATAAATAATACTTATTGAAAGTCACTCTTTTGTTTGATTACCACTGGTTCGGAAAAAACCTCTGTCCTGGGAAGAACCAGCAAGAAACCCAGCGGGACTTTTTTTTTAAAATAACAGCTTACAATCATGATGTTACACAAATTAACAACACAACAAATTAGAAATTGCTTGGTAGCGATCACCTCATTTCCAGGGGTTATTATCATCCATAAATTCCTTAATATTATAATAACCCTTTTTATACAAACTTAGTTTAATAAAGTTTTTGAACTTTGAACAGGTCAAACTTTGTATATTTTCTGGAATTTTGTTGTAAAAGCGTATACATCGCCCCAAGAATGAATTACTGACTCGATGGAGTCGAGTAACTGGTACTACTAGCTTGTGTCTGTTCCTAGTATTTACAGAATGAATATCACTTATTTTTGTAAAACTACTTTTATTTTTGTGTACGTACATTACATTTTCATAAATGTATTGAGAGGCCAAAGTTAATATATTAATTTCCTTACATTTTTGTCGCAGCGACTCTTTAGGCTTTAAATCATAAATTGCTCTTATGGCCCTCTTTTGCAAAACAAATATAATATCAGTGTCAGCTGCGTGTCCCCATAGCAAAATACCATACGACATTATGCTATGGAAGTAGCTGAAGTAAACTAGTCTAGCTGTTTCAACACTGGTTAGACTTCTAATCTTTTTTACAGCATATGCTGCAGAACTAAGTCTGCTTGCAAGTTTTGATATATGGGGGCTCCATTGAAGCTTACCGTCTAGTGTGATTCCAAGAAAAATGGTGGTATCTACAAGACTCAGTTTCTCCCCATTTAAAATAACATTAGTATTTAATTGTTTGACACTTGGTACAAAATTTTAAATTAGGTATTGAATTAACTTCTTCAGAATAAATGCAGTTTCAATTTGCACATAAGGCACGGAAAGTTTTTTCTACTCGTTTTACAATTACATCACAAATGCACAAAAAAAAATAGATTTTTATCTGGTACACACATATTTATATAAAACACATTTGCATAATATTGTACATATTTCACCACATAGCTCACGAAAAAGGTTTTGCGCCAGTGTGTGTTTTTAAATGTCTTTGCAGATGCCTTTTTGTAATACATCTATATACACAGATATTACACGAAAAAGGTTTCTCTCCAGTATGTATTTTCATATGTTTTTGGAAACTACTTTTTGTAATACATCTATATTCACAGATATTACACGAAAAAGGTTTTTCTCCAGTATGTATTTTCATATGTTTTTGATAACTACTTTTTGTAATACATCTATATACACAGATATTACACGAAAAAGGTGTTTGACCGGTGTGTATTTTCATATGGGTTTGCAAACGACTTTTTTTAATACATCTATATTCACAGATATTACACGAAAAAGGTTTTTCACCGGTGTGTATTTTCATATGGGTTTGCAAATTACTTTTTGTAATAGATGTATATTCACAGATATTACACGAAAAAGGTTTTTCACCGGTGTGTATTTTCATATGTTTTCGCAACTCACTTTTTCTAATACATTTATATTCACAATTATTACAACTGTACATTTGTTTAGCGACGTGCGCTTTAAGATGTGACAAAATGCAACGTTTTTGAGATGTTTTAAATTCGCAAATATCACAATTAAATATTTCTGTTTGTTGTGGTACTAGAGTTTGTTCTACTTGTGTCCGAACTGCAGTGGTGTCTGAGTTCTTTTGCGTCTTATGACTGTATGAAATGTGTTTGGCGAGAATGGCTTTTGTTGAAAATTTTTTACTACAACCATCACATTCAAAAATGTATTCAGTTGATGTCCCAGATGTCGTTTTCTTAAGTATATTTACACTCTTTTGTTTTAAAATTTTCTTTTTCATTATTTTTGCAGAATGCTTTTCTTTTTTATTAATTGGTTGATTATCTTTTTTCATTTTAGGGTTTGATTTAATAGTAGGGCCTTCAAAATCGGGGTTTTCTTCATGAACATCGTTTATGTTACAATCAGTAGAATTTGATTTAATCTTCTTTTCAGAAGTTTCTGAAAAATTATTTGTCGTAATTAAACTTTTTATTTATTGTAAATTATTGCATCTTTATTGCAAGAGACCTTAAACGGTTTACAATGGGCGGAGTTTAAGCCTTATGGCGTTCTCTATCGGTTAACCCATGCAAAAATAGATAAGTTATAATATTTTACATAATTATCTTACTAAATAATGTTGCTAGTTATAAAATATTTTAGCCAATTACTCCGAATAATGTATCTCATTTTCTTTTTTGGTGGGAAAGAATGGTTCTTCTGACCATGTTATAATTACATTAATCTAATAATTGCTGTTTCGAATTCAACACACAACTAGTGTTATACACACAGTACAGTCGAAGTTGGCGTGTAAGTGAGGGATAAGAGAATTCATCATTGCATGTTGTCTTGTGGGTTTCGTAAGAGGCGACTTTGGGTTTGCCAGAAAAATCTGATGGCTTCCGACAGATGGCGGTATAACCAGCTCGTTTATTTCAGATGTAAAATATCGAGACCGGCGCCAGGCGACATTGCCAGAGGTGCTCACGTCTGGTTCTGCGATCGTCAGTCCTATGCCAAGCGTGACGCTCAAGGAAAATTCTCCCTACATCGGGAGGGATTCTTCCCTGTTCAGCAGAGGAAGTTTACGGGAAGATTAAGGAATTATTTGCAGGCCATACAAAGATTCATAACATGCCCTGGTAATTCGGAGGCTATTTTATTTGCCGTAAAATTTCACAGTACACTAGCAACCCATGTCCGTCCCCCACTGGCACCAATAAAATAGTTAATTTTGTAAGTAGGTATGTATGTATTTTGTATGTATGTATACATACATACATACATACATACACGCCGTTTCCGTTCTATCGATCCCAACAGCTTCGATAGAAACCGTATTGAAGGTCACTAATCATCTTATGCTTTTGGAAGTACCGCGTGAGCTGGCAGTTAATAATGGATTCCATTATTTTGGAGAACAAGAAAGTGACGACGATAGGCCTGTATTTGGATAGGTCCCACCCTTTGTTAGGAATCGAATGCACTAAAGCTGTCTTCCATAAGCTTTGAAAGACACTTAAGGAGTACGAGAACATGACATAAACATAAAAGTAACAAGAACATAATTCAACAACTGCATTATAACTTTATAATCTATACTAATATAATAAAGTGGAAGGGTTTTTTCATGAGGAATAGTATAGCATTAGGCTACACCTCTCAGTTAACCTTAAATATTGATTTTTGCTAACCCGTCACGTCAAGTGCTACGCCATTTTACTTTTTACGTGCCAAACGTCTAAATAAATAGGCTACGATTCTCGAGAGATACATTCATTTGAATACGAATCATCAAAGAGATAACATCAAAATGGAGATAAATTTAATGAGAGCTCTCTCTGTTTAAAAAATGTCTACCAAAGATATACACAGCGACTTGGTGAAACATTAGAGGGACTCTGCTCCTCCATATTCCACAGTTGCACGCTGGGCTAAGGAGTTTAAGCTGGGCAGAACATACACGGAAGATGAACGCCCATTCACATCCCTCACTGAAGATAAAGTGAAAAGAGTCGAAGACGTCGTATTGGTAGATCGAAGAGTGACCATCAGGCATATAGCTGACGTCACAGGGATCTCATGTGACAGTGGTCAAAGAAACGTTGCGAACTAATTGCGCGTTGGGTACCGAGAATGTTAACCGACGAGCAAAAGAAAAAATTTGTCGACATATCGAGGGTTAATCTCGAAAGGTTCAAAGTAGATCAGATTTTTTTATTACGTTTCGTGACCATGGGCGAGACCTGGATCTACCATTTCGATCTTGAAACCAAACAACAATCAATGGTTTGGAACCAAGCCTCCTACAGACGCCAAAGAAATTCAAATTGCCAAGTTCGGCGGGATAGGTTATGGCGTCCGTTTTTGAAGGAATAATTATGGTGGAATATTTGGAAAAGGGAGCCATTATTTCCGGCTTATAGTCTCGACTACGCAGGCCAAATAAGAAGATTGCAGGAAGCTATCAAAGAAAAAGACGATGAGACGAGTTGGAGTGCTGTTTCAACAAGACAACGTTCCGCCTCACAAAGCCGCAGTTGCGATGGCTGCCATTCAAGAAACGGGATTTGAACTGTTTGAACACCCAACCTATTCACCAGATCTAAGTTCCCAGTGACTTCTATCTATTTCCTCCACTCAAGGAACACCTTCGAGGCAAGAAATTTGCAGACGATAGCGAAACTTAAGAAAGATTTTTTTCTAAGTGAATTCTGGGATTATTACAAAAATGGACTAAATGCGTTGACTTGTTAAGACTATGTGGAAAAATAAATTAAAAAATAACTAAAATCGCAAAGGATGTTAAAAAACGGCAGAGGTGGCTTCGCCCGCGTAAGACAAAACAAAATGATTATCAATAGAATCAGACGTTACATTGCGAAAATCCATTATATTAAACACTAGCTGATAACCGCTCGCATCGCTGGGCGCACGATATTTTATTGCGGAACCTAGATGTGACTAAAGTAATTAAGTAATTAAAGAACAAAATTTTGTATGTATAGTACATCTCTACAGTACATGTAATACAACTACATGATGCAAGAGAAATTGGTGGTGATTTCTTTTTATTTTTTGATACATGTTTTTTAACATAAATTAATTTACCTTTGTCATCGTCTTCTTTTTTACTTTTTGAACCAAATGCAATTAGCGGCAAGTCGTACTCCGAATCTTCAATAGCATCAATCTCCAAATCTTCTTGTTTTTCAGCACTCTCTAGAATAAAACACATTCTGACTCAATAAATAAAATAATTACTGATATTTTTTTTCAAGCGACTAGATCATTACAGTCCATCACAAAGCTTATGGGCCTGAGCCACCCACTTTCATTACCGTACTGCATGTTTCATAAACTAAGTGTAATAAGGTGGCAATGGGCCGAAGAACTGAACACCGATGGGGAAGAGAGGTTCTCGAGTGGCAGCCTCGTACTGGTAGACGAAGTGTAAGGCAGCCACACACTAGATGGAGGGACGACCTGGTAAGACATGCAGGAAGTCGATGGATGCAGGTGGCTGAGGCCCGTGCTTTGTGGCATTCCTAAAGAAATTGGTAAAGACAGGTTGCTTACCAGTTGTAATTATATCATTAATTCCTATGAAATTAATCCATCTTAGTGACATACATACTGGCTGCATTTATACAGGGTCAAAATATTTTCAAAATATATTAATGCATAAGTAAAAAAAAGTCTAAAGCTCTATTACTAGTTATTATTAGTCTATTTTACATTTACAATTATTTATTTATTTAAACTAACAACTATCATGACAGGAATAACCTAATGCGACAGTGTAGTTCTTCTCATGCATAATAAAAATGTGGTCATTAACTGTAAAAAATTGTAAACAATCAATCCTACCCTAGTGTATTTACTCAAGGTGCAACAGAATAGATCAATGTCTTCAGCCATTCTATTAAGAATGCGTAACGCAAAGATGTTTTATAGGTTCAGATACCGTGTACGCGCGCCTAAAACGCTTCCATTTCAAAGGCGCCAATATTGGCGTATTCGTTCGATCGTTCCGCCATTACACCAGCGACGTTCGCTGTGAACATACGTCACGCACCGGTGTTTTTAATTTCGCAAAATGACTGTTTGTGCTGTGAAATCATTTAAAAATTACTCTTGGAAAAAAGATAAGGATAAGAACATCACTTTTCATAAGTAACTATACAATTTTATGGTGTATTTCTTTGTAAAAGAATACGAAAGCTAAATGTCAATACAAGTAATAATACTGCGCAATAATATTCGAGTGTTGCCTAGTCTATGAAATGTTTTTACCATTTTTTAATGTCATGATCAACCACAAAGGTTATCTGTATAGGGGTTTTAAACAGTCTAATTTTACAGATTTTACCCAACCTATAGAGTTAAACCGTTTTAAGGGTTAGGGTTGAACTACATCTGGCAGCATGAAATTGCACTTTCCTGTGCTTCTATCCTTTTTGGTCACTCAGAAACGTTATAGTAGTAACCGGTATAGTTCCACCCTCAAAAAGCCGATTGTAAACCCGTTTTAAAAGTTTATCTATCATTCTTGACAATTCATACTAATATAATATTATAAATGTGAAAGTTTAATTTTTTTGTTTATTTGTTTTTGTCCTTCCTTCACGCAGCAACGGAACGGAGCAATTAAAAAAAATTAAACATTTTGCTATCTCTTGGCTGAAGTTCACGCTTAACCAAACTTACTTTTTTTCGTAATTTTACTTAGGACTAGCTGTGCCCGCGGCGTAGCTCGCGTATACAGGTTTTACATAAAGAATTTGTCGTTTAGGTAAGAGAATATTAAACGATTTATTTCATTACTGTATCAATAAGTGGTAACTAAATAAATCATTATCATCAAAGTTCTAAGTCGTTTATGATAGAGCTTCTGTGTAAACGACGTTAGAAGTAGGCTTAGCCGGGGTGTACACAAAAAGGTTTCGGGGGCTACTAACGCGGGAAAAAGCAACATAGAGTTGGCCATGTGCAAAACAGTCAGTACTGAGGTACACTCCTACAACGCGTAAAGTTTGACCTTGCGCTTTATTTACGGTCATCGCATAACACACGCTCACTGTAACTGGGAACTGAACGCGCTTAAAACTGAGAGTAAAGTTACTTCTTAATAGAGGGTTTTTGGGCAGTGCTGCCAGATAAAAAAAAACTCATTCAGCTCTAGGACAACACAAAAAGCGCTAGATTTCATGAAAACAGCGCTTTCAAAAAGCCCTAGATTTCGCGCTAAATTAAGTACAAACAAAGTTTGTGTTTTTTTATATCATCATCATCATCATTACAGCCCTTCACAAGTCCACTGCTGAACATAGGCCTCCCCCAAAGAATGCCACAAAACACGGTCCTGAGCCACCTGCATCCATCGACTTCCTGCATGTCTTACCAGGTCGTCACTCCATCTCGTGGGGGAACGCCCTACACTTCGCCTACCGGTACGAGGCTGCCACTCGAGAACCTTTCTTCCCCATCGGTTGTCGGTTCTTCGAGCTATATGGCCGGCCCACTGCCACTTCAGCTTACTAATCCGTTGGGCTATGTCGGTCACTCTGGTTCTACTGCGGATATCCTCATTCCTAAGTTTATCACGCAGAGAAACTCCGAGCATAGCCCTCTCCATAGCTCGCTGAGCGACCTTGAGCTTCCTCATACGGCCAGCAGTGAAGGACCACGTCTCAGTTCCGTAAGTCATCACTGGCAACACGCACTGGTTGTACAATTTCGTTTTAAGGTTTTGAGGTATGTCTGACGAGAAGATGTGTCGTAGCTTCCCGAACGCTGCCCAGCCGAGTTGAATCCGTCGATTGACCTCTCGGTCGAAGTTGGACTTACCCAGTCGGACTATTTGTCCCAGGTAAACATACTCGTCAACAACTTCGAGCTTAGTGTTCCCAACAACTATCGGCATAGGTGTGACATGGACATTAAACATGATCTTAGTTTTGTCCATGTTCATCTTAAGACCTATCCGTTGGGAAACACTATTGAGGTCATTGAGCATAGTGCTTAGGTCCTCCAGCGATTCTGCCATAAGGACTATATCGTCGGCAAATCGAAGGTGAGTGATGTACTCGCCATTGATGTTGATACCGTATCCTTTCCAGTCCAGAAGCTTGAAAACGTCTTCCAATGCAGCGGTGAAGAGTTTCGGGGATATGACGTCACCCTGTCTTACACCTCTCTGCTATTGGATAGGTTTCGTACTCTGGTTCTGTACTCGGATAGCCATCGTAGCCCTACTGTACAAGCACTTCAACACTTCGATATACCGACAGTCAACTTGGCACCGCTGAAGGGACTGCAGCACCGCCCAAATTTCGACGGAATCAAAGGCTTTCTCATAGTCCACATACGCCAGACATAGTGGCAAATTGTACTCTTCGGACTTCTGTACAACTTGCCGAAGGGTATGTATGTGGTCTATGGTGCTAAAGCCCTTTCGGAAACCGGCTTGTTCGGGAGGCTGGAAGTCGTCAAGTCTGCGCGCGAGACGATTCGTAATGACTCTCGAAAACAGCACGTAGACGCGGCTCAGAAGGGAAATCGGTCTGTAGTTCTTCAAGAGAGCGTTGTCACCTTTCTTGAAGAACAAGACCACCGCACTTCTGCTCCACGCCTCCGGTGTAATGCCACCATGGAGGACGGAATTAAAGAGCTTCTGAAGGACTTCAAGTACCGGTCTTCCACCCGCTTTCAGAAGCTCCGCTGTAATTCCATCCTCGCCTGGGGCCTTACCGTTTTTAAGGTGCTGGAGAGCCATCCTAATCTCGCTCAGACTGACATCCGGGATATCTTCGGAATAGTGTCGGATGAGACTCGCTCTTGGATCGTTACTCACACTTGCGTGTGGCTCCAACGATGATGTGTACAGCTGCCCATAGAACCTCTCAATCTCACTCAAAATCTCAGGTGTCCCGGAAACGATGCTGCCACATTCTGTCTTCAGCTTTGACAGTTGGCTCTTTCTGGCAGACAGATCTCTGGCAAAGACTTTGGAGCCTTGGTTCCGCTCGATCGCTTCTTCAATACGAGCTGTATTGAAGTTGCGTAAGTCCCGCCGCATGCATTTGGAGATCTGTCTGTTCAGATGCCTGTATGCTGTCAAGTCTGTTGAAGAATGTAGCTTCATCTCCCGTCTAACAGCCATGAGATTAAGAGTGTGATCGGAGAGTTTTAGTGTTCTTCTGCGGCGGGTCTTGCAGAACTTAGCTCCAACCGCATGGACAGTTTCCACGAGCTTGTCATTCATATCGTCCACTTCATTGCAGTCTTCTAGGCACTGAAAACGGTTTTGTAACTCGAGCTGAAAGGTTTCGGGACTTTGAAACAGAGCACGAGGGGGACGGAGCGTTGACTTCATTAGACGAGACCTCTCCAACTTAACGTTTAGGTTCAGTGTGCCTCTAACCATTCGGTGATCGCTACCAGTTTTCACCCTCGCGATCACGGAGACATCACTGAACAGTTGTCGTCTGGTCGTCATAATGAAGTCAATCTCATTTTTTGTCGAACCGTCGGGGCTCGACCAGGTCCACTTCCTGTGGGGCCGCTTCTGGAAGAAAGAGTTCATCATAAAGAGTCCCTCTTTCTCCATGAAGTCGGCCAGCTGCTGGCCCCTTGGGTTCCGTTGCCCTATTCCAAATTTCCCTACTTTCAGCTCACCGTTCTCTCTTGTGCCTAGTTTTGCATTGAAGTCTCCCATTAACACCGTATATTGGGTTTTGGAGGAATGCATGGCTCTAGAGATATCCTCATACATTTCCTCCACCTTCTCATCGGGGTGTGCCGAGGTTGGTGCGTAAACCTGTATGACCTTCAGCGAATACCGTTTGGTGATTCTGAGTATAAGGTACGCAACCCTCGTCGACACACTCCCGATTTTTACAACGTTGTTAACGAGAGACTTGTGGACGATAAATCCGACACCTCCTTGGGACAGATGGTCGCCCTCCCGGTGATAGAGCAAGTTGCCGGATTCGAGGATTACCGTGTCCTCCCCCTCTCTTCGGACTTCAGATAATCCTATAATATGCCAGCGCAACTTGTCTATCTCTTCTTCCAGCTCCACGATCTTCTCGTCAGTCCTCAGGGTGCGTGCGTTGTACGTTGCCAGGTCGAGTCGTCTAAGGTGGCAACCGAACCTCCACCGGAGATTCTTAGCACCCCCTGCCCCGCCGTTACCATGGTCGCCACCGTAGCCAGGA